GCCTGGGAGGGCGCCGGAGGGCTGGGGCAGCCCGGGCTGGGGAGCACCGGGCCGCCCCCCCGGCTGCCTGTCCCGCCGCTCCCGCTCAGGAGCATGTTAGGGAACACCTGGAAAAGAGGGGCTGCCGGCCTGCCTCCTGTTTGTATTGAACTGCTGCACATCTGGGTGTAAAACACTCGTGCTTTCCTTTGACAGCTTTTGTAAATGGTTTTAGCTCAAGCGCCTAAGAGTTCAGCTGCAGAAGGGATATAACAAAGTTAAGTGCTTCCCCTGCGCTGTCATTTCAGTCCTTTACAGGCCTTACGTTGGCCTGATTTCCGTGGGGATTACAAGTGTAAGTAAAATTACAAGGAGATGATAGCCAGACAGCATGATGTACGTGCTTTCTGTATTTCACAATCCCAGTGTGTTTGTTGCAGTACAAGTTTGTGAAGTGATGTTGCCTAATTTAAAGCTAGCTAATTACCCTATATACTCAGATTTGGCTTTTGGTTGTCATTCCCTGAGATGACGTTTTATTTGATATTTAGAATCCTAAATTACCAATCCATAGCTGCCCTATGGAGTATTTACAGATAATTAGTTTACAACTCAAACAGAATTTTATGTAAAAGACAACAGCGCTATCAGGAGAATAACTTGTATCTAAAAAGCCGAATATCTAACAGGTGCTGTTAAATAACTATTGTAAAAGCACTTCAGGACTGCTTTATATGGTTTGATCTAACTTTAGATGAGAAAATTCTTACTACTACTAAGTTCGTATTTATTCAAGCACATTGTTTTAATAAAAAGTGTTCTGAGGGTAGTTGAACCTAGAACTGTCACGAGTGCAAGGTTTGTTTGATGCTGCAACTGCTGAATTGTATCTGACTGTAGATGCATTTGTTACGTCTGCTTTTGAAAAACAGATTCGGAGCATCTCAGCCAGGGCATCCTGAAGTCAGTGGCTGATCACGTCGTTCGTGCTTATTCTCTGAGAGGTTCCGAGTGTTTTTGGTATCTCTGGTGCTGTGGTTACAGTACGATATTGTGCCATAGTGTATTCTAGTGGTAGCTACTTTAGTAGTAGCTTTAGTGTATTTAACCACACGAGGGCGATCTTAGAACGTAAAAAAAGACAATCTTGCTATAGGCACATCTCTTGCGGCGTTTTGTTTTTAGTGATGGAAGAGGTGCCTTGCTGATACGTTTGATAAGCTGATTACTCTAAACTCCTCCAAATAATTTCATTTCCTATATATTAGAACATAATTTTAAATCCATATCTGAATTTTCTCTATTTACCCAACACAAATGTGTGTCAGAAGTTGTTTTCTTTTGAAGAACTTTATGTAACTTTTTTCCAGGAGCATTTCTAAAGCTGGCATGTGTAAAAGAAAAAAAAAAAAAACAACAAAACAAACAAACAGATATGCTTTTATTTGCCTTCATTAGTTTTAAATGCAAGTTTCTTTCAACGAATCTAGTAACAAATTAGTTAAGTACAGTATGTTGTGAGAGTGCAAGGACATGCTTCAAAGAGAGATAAGAACCTTGTGCCCCTTTTCTGTTGGGGTGGCTCATTCATCATGTGGTGTGAGGCAGGCTCTGGTTTCTGGTAACAGCTTAGACGAGTCTGAAACCAGTCAGTGTAACCTGGATACTTACTCTTCCAGTAATTCAAGTTAACCATCTAAAATTAATCTACCGAAAGGCAGAACTCTGGCCCCTTACTAGTCCGTTTCTCTGCCTTTGTATTGGAGATCATGATGTCTTTGTGTCAAATATTTAGAGATTTTTAGAGGTACTGTGTTATGTTAGTGAAATATGATAGTATTTGCTAGAGTAACTGAGCTGTGTTAAAAGTCTACACGGTGTAGTGCTGTTATTGTGACTTAAAAAATCTAGGAAAGTATCAATGAGCTGAGTCTTAATTTTGTGCATGCCTCATACATCATGCCTCTAACAGTGACTCATGGTGGATGTTTAAATGGAGAAGTGTAAGAATAAACAAGCAGCCAGTGGTATTTGCCCAGAATACTCTCCTAGGCCTTCTGATGGCCTTGCTGAGCACTGACTAGTGTCTTTCCACTTTACTAGTTCTTGCTGGATTTTTCCTTATGAGAATTTTTAACACCAGGTGGATGTGTACCCATCCTACCTTTAGGTGAAGAACTCCCTCCTTTCATGTTCTATGTGTCTCCCAGTGCAGCACCAGGGAGAGATCAGCTAAAACAGCAGATGGTAGTTTCAGAGGGATCCTTTGCAGGTCATCTCCTCATGACACACGTGATTTTGTAGTTCTTCATTTTATGCTTTGCCTTTTCTGCACTCCTCAGTTCCGTCCTTTCCAGGCAGAAGAATTCTAATTAATATAACTGCTGCTTGTATGGAACTGTACTGTGTTGTTGATTGTCCTTATTTCTGTACCTTTAAAGCATTATTATTATTTTAGTTTTTCAAGTTAGAGAAACAATATCCAAAGATATAAGTCCAGTAAGGACTTTTGCAGCAGTAATTTTCTTTTCTGTTTTTTTTATAGCTCTACATGTTACAGGACCATCTGTTTTATAGGACTATCTATTATAACTGTATAGTGTTTGTTTGTGGGTTTTTTGGTTTTTTTTTTTTTTTTTAATAGTGCAGTTCTTAGCTTTGTTTTGAGGCTGTCTTTAAAGCGTTTGCCATAATTAAGAGATCTTTCACAGAAATCCTCTCCAGACCCTTATAGAGTACAGCAGATTGAAAAGCTTGTTTTGCTACAGGCTTACCTCCTTTGAAGGGTCTTTTCAATACACGGATTACTTTTTACCACACAGGCTCTCAAGCAGGCCTGTTACTGTTGTGATGTTTTTTGAAAATTGCTCCATTCTACTTCCTGTTTTTCTAGTTATTGACCTGCCTTACTGTGTTTTTGCATATAACTTGACACTATTTACAATCTGTTTTGTTTTTCTCCTTTGACAAAACTTTAACTTTTATTAAGATGTTTTCTTCTACTAAAGCTTCCTTTCACTGCTATTTAGCTGTGCTAGATTTTTTTTTCTTCCCCTTTCTAAAATCTTCTTTGATGATTAGCATCAAATATGATGCTTTTAAATAGCCTTCATGCTGCTTTCAAGGATTTAACTCTTCTTGGAACCTTTTTAGTCCTTTCTGTGGTTTGTTTTTGTTTTGTTAAAGATGCTTTTTATCTTTATATAGTTCACATTGTTGAAGTTAAACACAAACATTTGGCTCTTTATCACTCTTTTAAAGGATTTCTAAGTGCTTCTTTAATCACGGTTACAGAATAACTCAAGTAGTGTGACTTTGAAGGGGGTCCTGTGTTTTACTTCTGATAAAGTCAAGAACTGTTTCTCCTCGTGTGGTTTCCCTGATTGCTTGCTGGCTGAAGCAGTCGTTAATGGTGTCTAAACATTTAATCTTGGCTTCCTGTCCTGACCTGACAGTTGGAGCCTGCAATATTTTGTTGTTTCTGTCTTCGCAACGTCTTTTATCCCCTTCAGTGTGTCACAGTCATTCTTACCAGTGTGGTCAGACTGTTGCTCGTATAGTCCTAACACTGTGCTTTTCGGTACAATGCAAGTATTTTATTCATTAGAGAATCTGTTACTTGTTAAAATAGCCTGTTAATCAGATTTGACCCTAAACTGCTTCTGACAGATGGCATTGCTTCACAAACAACACATCCTACTTTCTGTCCTCAATATTTTGATGTAATGGTGTTCCACTGGCATCACAACAGTGTTTTTCAGAAATTTGTTTGAATGCGTGTCTGCCAATAATCCTTATCTACAGTTAGGCATTCTGATTTTGACACCTTATTAGGCTTCTTGCATTATTATTGTAGTAGCATGTAGATTTTTTCTTTTTAAAAAGCAACTAGGAAGAAGTGGAAAAAGAGACCTAACAATTTGTTACAACTATTCTTTGTTTCCTGTTGACAGTGTCATCCTTCATTTGAAAATAGTCTTCATGATTTTACTACTGCAAGGTGAATCACCTTGATCTTTTGCACTTGTCACCTACCCATCAGTCTTTAATTTAAAAACATTTCACAATCTCTTAAATTTAGGTTTGGATGAAGCCTGATGCTCCTCCGTATTTTTTCTCAATTTGTAAGGTTCCCTTAGGTATATACAAAACTATCAACTTAGTTTTCTCATCATAACAGCACCATCATGCATTCATGTCCCAGTTGCTTCAACTAGTGCTTTTTTTTTTCTTTTTCTGCTGTTTTCTCTGTCCTAGTATCTTTGTATAGACTTTTAAATGCATTTTATTTCTTAATCAGAAACATTCACAAACTTCAGTGTAATTTAGTCTTATGTACTGTGTACCTCTCTGTAATCTCCAAGAATCTCTATAGGTGTATTTTACCTTGTAAACTAAACTTGTGGCCTTGTTAGAAAAAATGTTTAGTGTATATAATTAAGTTTTCCATAAAACAATATTAAGCTGTGTAGATTTTAGTATCATGTTTTAGTTTTTGCAGGAATGCATCCTGTTATCAACGTTGCTATAACTTTCTTCCTTACTGTTAAAATAAAAAATGTTTGTGGCATTTAAATAATGATAATTAAATTGTCCCGATTTTTATTACCAGCTAAAAATGAGAACAGACATGGTCAGGTGCTGCTCTTCTTTGATGGAATGTATTCCGTGTTGCGGGTTTTGTCTCAGGGGTCATCCTGTGCTGGTGAATTAAAAAATAATTGCTTGCTGTTCAGAATAGTTCAAATCCAGATGAAGCAAGCGCTAAAATAGCTTTCTATTATCTCTCACCTGCTGCTTTTAGTACAGTTAATTTGTTAGTTTTGGACATGGGATTCTTGTGATGCTGCTGTTCTAATAGTACCAAATAGTGGCAGTTTCTTTTTTTTCCTCAAGGCTTACTGAGGATAATGCTTTTGATTTGGAGATATGCCATAATCCTGTGTAGTAATTTCTTGATGAATCAAATTAGAGAATGTAGCAGGAAACAAGTATTAATTTTTTTTTTTACTTTATCAAATGAAGAGAAATAAAGTTAGTTTATACTAGTGTCTTCATTAAAATGATGGCTAAAATGTTGTAAGGTTGAGGAAGAGGTTTAAGGAATAAATCTATAGCTAAATGTAGCCTTCTGAGGTTAAAGTATGTGTTAATCAAAACTTACATTCATTTAAAGATCCTTTTTTGTAAAATAAAAAAATGCAATTGACAGTTACATTTTACTGAAATTACGAAATAGTACTTATTGAAGATACTAAAAACACATAATCATATTTCACAGTATTTAAAAAAAAATTGATTTTTTAAAAACAGATTAAAGTAGATTTTAAGTAAAAAGCACAGCAACAAAAAAGT